CTGGGTTACAGGTTTGAGCTCTGCCTTCAGGCGTGAGCTCGCCTCAAGGTTGCTTCTCCCAAACGAAGATGAGAGGCGCTCGTGGCGCCTCTCCCTTGGTCCCGACTCGCAAGAAGACTCTAATGAAGACAGGTCGCTTCACAGTGGTGGACGCACAGGGGTCTCCACACAAACGAGTGCGGAGACCAAGCCTGAGCTTGTCCAGGATGACCCTACGACTACGACTCGTGTTGCACAATGGGCGAGCTGCGCTCGCATGCCCGCAAATTGTCGCTGTATGACGGTCGCCCAAAACTATGGGCTGGCATTTAGCTTCCGCTTCGCATCAAGTTTCAAGACCTCTTTTCACATTTTCAAGAAAATTGTGCGATGTCGAACCCCACCCATCGATAAGCTTGAACCCTAGAGTCGCTCTGTGAGCGACTCCTCTCTCCACGTTGGCGGCGGAGAGTCTGGGTGATTCTATACCCAAAATCCCTCCTGAATCCATCCAGCCTCCTCGCCACTCCCGAGATGACTCTGATGCCACCCTTCTATTCAATCCGTTGTGGAGCTTATCCATCCATCGTCCATGCAGTGCGCTGATGGTCAGCTCCCAACGTTCCACATATTTCAAATCTTCAGTATATTTAAGAATTGCCCCTCCTGCTGACACCTTCCTTCATCCTCTTCCTTCACCCTCATGATGAACTGAGAAACCCAAACAGCTCAAGAAGGGAAACCTTGTGAAGAGGGCCCAAGGAGTTGAGTGCGCTGGCAGATCCTCTGCCGGTGCTCCTCCCGGAAGTGTCTCAGCTGATCTTCCCACTGGACCCACTACATGCACCAAAACCTTGTCCGCGAACGGCGAGGTGCGCTTCCCCACACCCTCATCCCTCGCTACCCCCGCTGATCCCGAAACTCCTGTCCACATGATTTTGCGACCCGTTGCTCTGTCCCTTATCAAGAATCGCTCAGTCGAGTCCCGTGCCAGTGGTCAGACTCCCGCAAACCGTGGGTGTAGCAGTGATGGGGGCAGCACCTTGAGCATGCCGGCCCTTCAGACAGTGTTGCCTTCGGTTTCCTCCGCCTCTGGCATAGAAGGAACCCGAAGCGCATCCACCGCTCCCTTGGACACCTCAAATTGCAGTGTCTACTTTGGCATGCTCCTCCGAGCTGCCAGCACGTGCGCTGCATTCAATTTGGCTGCCAACAGTGAAACCCCATCGGCCTCTCAAGGACAAGTGGAAGTGCTCGCTCAAATCCGCGAGGCCACGGTCGACGTTTTGGAGAACCTGTCGTTCACCTCGCTCGTTAACCCCCCTTCCTCAACTTTGGGCAGTGCTGTGCGCCTTTCCGCTGAAGACTACGACAGCATTACTGTTGCTCTCTTTGCCAATTGTGGTCATGCACGTATCTTTGTCTCGCTCGCTCAGGAAATCGAGGTTTATGATGAGGACCTCAGCTCTTTGCTGCTCCGCTATCACCCCGTTTACAATCCTCTCACCGATGACGGCCCGTTGTTGCCCTACGGAGCAGTGGACGGCGACCTCCCTGGTAAGACATCCAAAGAGATTATGCTCCTTCGTGATGTTGTCATGTGATGGAGCCTCCTGCACTGTCTTTGGAATTGGGAAACTCTGGAACAGGGCATTCGCAACTACCATCACGTACAAATCACTCAACAGGACTTGATTGGCTTCCACAGCACCTCCATGGGACTGGACAAAGTGTACATGCTAGGTGCCTACCATTTAGAGCGGCTCGCGCAGCTCACGCTAGCCATCCACCAAGTCCTGTCAGGGTTGTACGAGTTCCTCGACACCCTGCACTCGAGGTGATTCATCATCGACCCTGGGTGGCAGTTCCTGCGACTCTTGGAGGAGAACCTCAGCCACTCTGCTATTCTCATGGCAACATCCAGCCTCCAATTTCGACTTACCCAAGCGGTGCAACACATCAAGCGTCAGTTCAACACTATCAAGCACATCTGTAACCAGGAATTGGATGTCATGAGCTCAGTGGATTCCACTCGCAGCTCTGTCCGATTCTCCTTCGGTTGAGATGAGCTGGACGTCGAGCTCGGACAGCTTCTCGTTCGTCCTAATTACAGAGTGCAAGCATATGACAGCCTCGTGTGGGAACAATATGTTGAGAAGTTCACCGATGGCTCTCGTCTCGTCTTCTACAAGGACCCTGAGTTGGAACATGCAGCGGCACTCACCCTACCCTTTTCTCCCAAGCCGGAAGGTGCGACCAGCCCTGAGATCCCGGAAAAGACTGCAGCTAACAAAGTCTTCTTCGATAGTGGAGCTCAGTGCAGTGCCCACTTCATTCCCACTGTCCCCATGCCAACTTCCCTTTCCTCAGTTGGAAGAGGCCCCGTTAGCATCCTCCCGGGCATGGAACTCATGCCTCAGTGGCCCGCTGACATTACTCCAGCTCACCAACAAGCATTCAATCCTGGGATGAGTATTGGGGATGCGACAAGGGCGCGCTCCACGCCTTCCGCTCTGCAGGAATTGGGAAAAGCTGAGCCGAGTGAGCCCGCCTGCGCTCCTGCAAGTCTTACTGCTTCGGTCATCAGATTAACAAACAATTGGACATCTTATGTATTTCAGAATCCCGCCAATGCGAACGGAGGCTCTCTGCCCGATCCCCGTAATCCAGCTCTGGCCCTCGATCGCTTGACTAGGATCATGTGATTACCCACAATGCTCAACGTCCCTAAGTTGAGGCCTGCCGGCGAATGGAGCGCCCCCTCCTGGAGGAGGTGGAGGTGGAGGACCCCCAAATGGAGGGAATCCTCCCTTCAGCGGAGTGCTCATTGGAGGTGGAGGTCTGTCCAGGAACAGAGGACCTCCCTTCGACGGAGCCCCCATTGGGAATGAAGGTGGAGGCCTGCCTGGAGGCGGAGGAGCTCCCTTCACAGGAGCGCTGATACGACTGAGATGTGAACAGCGGTGAAATGCTCCAAAAGATGGCTCGACTGGGATTCGAACCCAGGACCTCCCGTTACATGCTGAGGTGCTCTGTAACCAACTGAGCTATCGTGCCGACGCTGGTAGTGATCACAAGTCCCCCAGCTCATGGCCCCCGGTCATGTGGCCCCCAGGCCTACTGGTCCCACTTCACCGGTCCCATCTCCCGGCTCAAACTTGTGACACTACCAGGGTGGGCCCAGGCCCACCCCATCAGCGCCTGGAGGCAATGGAGGTGACGGCCCAGCGGCTGCTGGAGGACCTCCCTTCGGATATGGTCCCTAGGAATGGCAGGCTAATTGCAAATTGAATCTGCAACTCGTTCCCAAGTGTGACGGTTACAGCAAGACTGCCATTTCCTATGTCTGCAAGATATCCGAGCTAGTGCGGCTCTCGCCACAGATGGTTGTCGACCTTGGCGCCTTCACCCCTCTGAAATTCACGGGGCGAGCGGAGATGTGGTGGGACCCTCCCCTCTACCACTCAGGCGTATCTCGGCCAGAGCTCGATCTTCCTCCTTCGGGTGATCCAAGCACATTTCCTCAACGCCAATTGGCTTCAAGAGTGGCATTGTGAATGGGAAGAACAGCGATTCAGGCAATGTGGACATGAAAACAAGTGGCCCATGGACTTCCTCCAACACAGGAACGAATATCACAAGTTCCTTTATCCTTTGGAGGAAGATGGAGTGGATGTCGTTGATTGAATCCTCCAGACCGTCCTGGACGTTTGGGACGGTATCCTCAACTCACACTGGGGACAATAAGCAATATATGGAGCCTGTATATCCTCAGTATATCCTCAGTATTTTACAAAAATCCCCAGAATATACCCCCAATATAGGGTCTGTATATGCTCAGTATTTTGGAAACATACTGAGATATCCTTACAATATCCCGAGGTCTGATGGCTACCATATATGGACTCAGGATATGCTCAGTATTTAGAAACACAATATGTACAAACAATGTCCAAAATAGAATAAAAGACCTTCCTTGTAAGGAGAAGGCTCAGCTGAGATGAAATTGGGAACTTGATGCTAGGTTAGGGTTTCCTTATAAGGAAACCCTAACCATAACTTTAATTTTCTTAATTGCCTCAGCTGAGCCTCTCCTTCCAAGGCAGGTCTTTTATTTCTATTTTGGACATTGTTTGTACATGTTGTATTACAAATACTGAGCATATCCTGAGTCCATATATGGTAGCCATCAGACCTCGGGATATTGTAAGGATATCTTTAGTATGTTTCAAAATACTGAGCATATACAGACCCTGTATATTGGGGTATATTCTGGGGATTTTTGTAAAATACTGAGGATATACTGAGGATATACAGGCTCCATATATTGCTTATTGTCCCCAGTGTGAGTTGAGGATACCGTCCCAAACGTCCAGGACGGTCTGGAGGATTCAATCAACGACATCCACTCCATCTTCCTCCAAAGGATAAAGGAACTTGTGATATTCGTTCCTGTGTTGGAGGAAGTCCATGGGCCACTTGTTTTCATGTCCACATTGCCTGAATCGCTGTTCTTCCCATTCACAATGCCACTCTTGAAGCCAATTGGCGTTGAGGAAATGTGCTTGGATCACCCGAAGGAGGAAGATCGAGCTCTGGCCGAGATACGCCTGAGTGGTAGAGGGGAGGGTCCCACCACATCTCCGCTCGCCCCGTGAATTTCAGAGGGGTGAAGGCGCCAAGGTCGACAACCATCTGTGGCGAGAGCCGCACTAGCTCGGATATCTTGCAGACATAGGAAATGGCAGTCTTGCTGTAACCGTCACACTTGGGAACGAGTTGCAGATTCAATTTGCAATTAGCCTGCCATTCCTAGGGACCATATCCGAAGGGAGGTCCTCCAGCAGCCGCTGGGCCGTCACCTCCATTGCCTCCAGGCGCTGATGGGGTGGGCCTGGGCCCACCCTGGTAGTGTCACAAGTTTGAGCCGGGAGATGGGACCGGTGAAGTGGGACCAGTAGGCCTGGGGGCCACATGACCGGGGGCCATGAGCTGGGGGACTTGTGATCACTACCAGCGTCGGCACGATAGCTCAGTTGGTTACAGAGCACCTCAGCATGTAACGGGGAGGTCCTGGGTTCGAATCCCAGTCGAGCCATCTTTTGGAGCATTTCACCGCTGTTCACATCTCAGTCGTATCAGCGCTCCTGTGAAGGGAGCTCCTCCGCCTCCAGGCAGGCCTCCACCTTCATTCCCAATGGGGGCTCCGTCGAAGGGAGGTCCTCTGTTCCTGGACAGACCTCCACCTCCAATGAGCACTCCGCTGAAGGGAGGATTCCCTCCATTTGGGGGTCCTCCACCTCCACCTCCTCCAGGAGGGGGCGCTCCATTCGCCGGCAGGCCTCAACTTAGGGACGTTGAGCATTGTGGGTAATCACATGATCCTAGTCAAGCGATCGAGGGCCAGAGCTGGATTACGGGGATCGGGCAGAGAGCCTCCGTTCGCATTGGCGGGATTCTGAAATACATAAGATGTCCAATTGTTTGTTAATCTGATGACCGAAGCAGTAAGACTTGCAGGAGCGCAGGCGGGCTCACTCGGCTCAGCTTTTCCCAATTCCTGCAGAGCGGAAGGCGTGGAGCGCGCCCTTGTCGCATCCCCAATACTCATCCCAGGATTGAATGCTTGTTGGTGAGCTGGAGTAATGTCAGCGGGCCACTGAGGCATGAGTTCCATGCCCGGGAGGATGCTAACGGGGCCTCTTCCAACTGAGGAAAGGGAAGTTGGCATGGGGACAGTGGGAATGAAGTGGGCACTGCACTGAGCTCCACTATCGAAGAAGACTTTGTTAGCTGCAGTCTTTTCCGGGATCTCAGGGCTGGTCGCACCTTCCGGCTTGGGAGAAAAGGGTAGGGTGAGTGCCGCTGCATGTTCCAACTCAGGGTCCTTGTAGAAGACGAGACGAGAGCCATCGGTGAACTTCTCAACATATTGTTCCCACACGAGGCTGTCATATGCTTGCACTCTGTAATTAGGACGAACGAGAAGCTGTCCGAGCTCGACGTCCAGCTCATCTCAACCGAAGGAGAATCGGACAGAGCTGCGAGTGGAATCCACTGAGCTCATGACATCCAATTCCTGGTTACAGATGTGCTTGATAGTGTTGAACTGACGCTTGATGTGTTGCACCGCTTGGGTAAGTCGAAATTGGAGGCTGGATGTTGCCATGAGAATAGCAGAGTGGCTGAGGTTCTCCTCCAAGAGTCGCAGGAACTGCCACCCAGGGTCGATGATGAATCACCTCGAGTGCAGGGTGTCGAGGAACTCGTACAACCCTGACAGGACTTGGTGGATGGCTAGCGTGAGCTGCGCGAGCCGCTCTAAATGGTAGGCACCTAGCATGTACACTTTGTCCAGTCCCATGGAGGTGCTGTGGAAGCCAATCAAGTCCTGTTGAGTGATTTGTACGTGATGGTAGTTGCGAATGCCCTGTTCCAGAGTTTCCCAATTCCAAAGACAGTGCAGGAGGCTCCATCACATGACAACATCACGAAGGAGCATAATCTCTTTGGATGTCTTACCAGGGAGGTCGCCGTCCACTGCTCCGTAGGGCAACAACGGGCCGTCATCGGTGAGAGGATTGTAAACGGGGTGATAGCGGAGCAGCAAAGAGCTGAGGTCCTCATCATAAACCTCGATTTCCTGAGCGAGCGAGACAAAGATACGTGCATGACCACAATTGGCAAAGAGAGCAACAGTAATGCTGTCGTAGTCTTCAGCGGAAAGGCGCACAGCACTGCCCAAAGTTGAGGAAGGGGGGTTAACGAGCGAGGTGAACGACAGGTTCTCCAAAACGTCGACCGTGGCCTCGCGGATTTGAGCGAGCACTTCCACTTGTCCTTGAGAGGCCGATGGGGTTTCACTGTTGGCAGCCAAATTGAATGCAGCGCACGTGCTGGCAGCTCGGAGGAGCATGCCAAAGTAGACACTGCAATTTGAGGTGTCCAAGGGAGCGGTGGATGCGCTTCGGGTTCCTTCTATGCCAGAGGCGGAGGAAACCGAAGGCAACACTGTCTGAAGGGCCGGCATGCTCAAGGTGCTGCCCCCATCACTGCTACACCCACGGTTTGCGGGAGTCTGACCACTGGCACGGGACTCGACTGAGCGATTCTTGATAAGGGACAGAGCAACGGGTCGCAAAATCATGTGGACAGGAGTTTCGGGATCAGCGGGGGTAGCGAGGGATGAGGGTGTGGGGAAGCGCACCTCGCCGTTCGCGGACAAGGTTTTGGTGCATGTAGTGGGTCCAGTGGGAAGATCAGCTGAGACACTTCCAGGAGGAGCACCGGCAGAGGATCTGCCAGCGCACTCAACTCCTTGGGCCCTCTTCACAAGGTTTCCCTTCTTGAGCTGTTTGGGTTTCTCAGTTCATCATGAGGGTGAAGGAAGAGGATGAAGGAAGGTGTCAGCAGGAGGGGCAATTCTTAAATATACTGAAGATTTGAAATATGTGGAACGTTGGGAGCTGACCATCAGCGCACTGCATGGACGATGGATGGATAAGCTCCACAACGGATTGAATAGAAGGGTGGCATCAGAGTCATCTCGGGAGTGGCGAGGAGGCTGGATGGATTCAGGAGGGATTTTGGGTATAGAATCACCCAGACTCTCCGCCGCCAACGTGGAGAGAGGAGTCGCTCACAGAGCGACTCTAGGGTTCAAGCTTATCGATGGGTGGGGTTCGACATCGCACAATTTTCTTGAAAATGTGAAAAGAGGTCTTGAAACTTGATGCGAAGCGGAAGCTAAATGCCAGCCCATAGTTTTGGGCGACCGTCATACAGCGACAATTCGCGGGCATGCGAGCGCAGCTCGCCCATTGTGCAACACGAGTCGTAGTCGTAGGGTCATCCTGGACAAGCTCAGGCTTGGTCTCCGCACTCGTTTGTGTGGAGACCCCTGTGCGTCCACCACTGTGAAGCGACCTGTCTTCATTAGAGTCTTCTTGCGAGTCGGGACCAAGGGAGAGGCGCCACGAGCGCCTCTCATCTTCGTTTGGGAGAAGCAACCTTGAGGCGAGCTCACGCCTGAAGGCAGAGCTCAAAACCTGTAACCCAGTGTTATGGGACCGTGTATCCCGCAGTCGGGCTTGTGTAACCTGGAGAGGTGGGCAGTTGCTTGCTGGGCACCCAGCCGGCGTGCGGCCCCTACATTGTAATTGCATCCGCTGTGAGGGCTGTATATGCTGTGCATATGCCCTCACGCAGCAGTGCCGGCACAACAGGGATGAAGAAGCACAGCACAGCTATATCACCAAATCGGGACACACCTGGAAACCACATTCGGACTTCTCACAAACATGCTCCTCGACCTCGGGCACCGACTGGGACATGAACCGTAACCCATAATCCACTATAGACACCATCACTTGAGCCTCACCGGGTCTCTCGGCCTGACTCCTGGTCCAAAATCACATGAATTTCTGTCCACTCTCGGAACCTGGCTAAAATTTTCGATTCCACCAAATGCTGCAGCACTCTGTTATATCCCGTGCCGATGAAGGGGGCTATCGCCAAAGGTCTCCGGTTGGAAGATCGGAGGTCAGAGGTCGAAGGTCGGAGACCAGAGACCGGAGGTCGGAGATATCGGAGGTGAGCGCTGTTACGAACGGCGTCCCAATTGGGCGACGACCGCTTATTATCTAATCTATTATTGAGCAGTTGGCTCTGTTATGATCGCGGGTCACTAGACCCACTATATAGTCCGTAATTACAGTAGTAAACAGGGCTTTTTACCTTT